TAGGTGCTGAGATCAACTCCCTCTTTAACCTGTTAAAAGCATCTAAACACTCTTTGTCAAAATTAAAAGGCACATCTTTTACTAATAAATTACAAAGAGGTTTTGTGATTTTCGAGAAGTCTTTGATAAACCTTCTGTAGAATCCTGCGTGACCAAGAAAACTTCTTATACCTTTCACTGAGTTAGGAGGAGGTAGTTTCTCAATTACCTCGATTTTGGCTTTGTCTACTTCAATTCCCTTTTTAGAGATCTTATGCCCTAAGACAATACATTCACTAACCATAAAGTGACATTTTTCCCAATTTAAAACAAGGTTAGTGTCTTCACATCATTCATTACTGAGGATAAATTATGAAGACATGCATAAAAAAAAGAACCAAATACAGAGAAGTTATCCATAAATATCTCAATAGATTTCTCTACCATATCAGAGAATATGGACATCATGCATCTTTGGAAAGTTGCAGGGGCATTGCATAGTCCAAAAGGCATTCTCCTATAGGCAAAAGTGAGGCATTCTCCTATAGGCAAAAGTGCCATAAGGACAAATGAAAGTAGTTTTCTCTTGATCTTCAGGAGCAATAGGTATTTAAAAGTATCCTGAATAGCCATCCAAGAAACAGTAAAAGGGATAGCCTGCAAGTCTTTGAAGCATTTGATCAATAAAGGGTATGGGAAAGTGGTCCTTGCGTGTTGCTTTGTTTAATTTTCTATAATCTATGCACACACGCCAACCTGTGATTGTTCTAGTGGGAATTAATTCATTGTTTTCATTAAGAGATAACAGTCATACCTCCCTTCTTTGAACAAACTTGGGAACAGGACTCACCCAAACTACTATCGGAAAATTGGATAGATAAATGCCAAGCATCCAGAAGTTTTATAATTTCAGCCTTGACTACCTCCTTCATGTTTGGATTTAATCGCCCTTGATGCTCAGATTGAAGGTTTGTAGTCTTCTTCCATTAGGATTTTATGCATGCATATACTCGGGCTGATCCCTTGTAGGTCTGAAATTGACCATCCTAGCGCTTTCTTATGCTTTCGAAGAACTTGCAACAACCTTTCCTCTTGATCAAGAGTTAAATGAGAAGAAATAATAACAGGGAAAGAATTATTCTCGCCTAAGAATGCATGTTTTAAATGAGGTGGAAGTTGTTTCAGTTCTTGTTTTGGAGGTTCACTCTCTTTCTCATTCATGATGTTTGATTCATTAATGTCATCTTTAGTATGCAAAGTGGTTTCCACACATTCATCAACAACATCAATTTGAAAACAATCAATCACCATTAAGTCCATAGGAGTTTACATGATTTTAAGACATCAAAAAACAATTTCTTTCCTGTCCAACCCTTAATGTTAATTTACCTTCATAAACATTCAATTAATACTCTTAGCAGTTGCAGAAAAAGGCCTTCCAAGGTAAAGATCCTTCCCTATCTTCATCAATATCAAGAATAAACAAAATCAACAGGAAAGATAAATGACCTACCTTTACAAGCACGCTTCTACAATTCCTCAGGATAATTTGATTGATCGATCCGCTAATTGAGAGGTAGAGACATCCTTGTTGGTTTGAGCTCTCCCATGCCTAGCATCTTAAAAACTTCATAAGACATAAGATTAATGCTAGCTCCTAAATCTGCCAAAGATTTTTCGAAATCAAGATTACCAATATTGCAAGGGATAGAAAAACTTCCTGGGTCCTTCAACTTTGGAGGCAGTTTATTTTGAATAATTGCACTCCACTCCTCAGCTAACATTACCGTTCCTTGATCATCAATTTTCCATTTCTTGCTCAGGATATCTTTTAAGAATTTAGCATAGCTAGGCATTTGAGCAAGAGCTTCAGCAAAAGGAATGTTGATTTGAAGCTTATGTTGATTTGAAGCTTTTTGAATACATCCAGAAACTTTAGGAAACTCTTGTCATCTTGTGCCTTCTTTAAACTTTGTGGGAAGGGGACATGTGGAACATAGGGTTTTACTATTTCTTATTCTTCTAGGTCAATGATGGGTACCTTTGGCTGTTCTTCCACTTTCTTTTCTTTCTTTGGTGGCTCTTCTAATTGTTTGCCACTTCTCAAGGTGATAGCCTACACCTGTTCTTTAGGATTCTTTTCAGTATTAAGGTAACTTACCTTGAGCTCTGGATGCCATCATGTTTGTAAACTGTCCTAGCTGAATCTCCAAGTTTCTTATCACAGCTTACTGGATTTTGTTGTTTTCTCTGGTTTTGTTCATGAAGTCCATGTGCGATTTAGAAAGGGCAATAAAGAGATCATCATGAGATTTTTTCTCTTGAGGTATAAAACCTGGTGGTGCATTCAAGGCCCCCAACTAGGACAGGATAGGATGGTCCTCAATTTTATTCAATATGAGTTGGAGTATGGGTAATTCTTCCTTCCTTGATTTCATCACATTAGATTACATAGTTTACTTGCTCCAAGGTTTGTGGATTCAAAGAGTCTATCATGCATTCTCCAATCCCATGTTGTCCATTGCACCTATCACAAACTTGCATAGTGGAATTCACAGGATTAGTAGTTAACATGTCCAGTTTTCTTACCATGTTATCTACCTTGGCATTAAGTGCTGTAATGGCATCTATTTTATAGACTCCTGTAGTTCTTTTTCTTTCGGAATTGTTTTGGTAATGGTTGTTGCTTGCCATCTCCTCTATCAATTCATACGCCTCATCAATTCCCTTCTTCTCAAAAGATCCACCTACAGCTGCATCTAATCTAGAGTAATTTTAATGTTAGGATATAATGCATTATAAAAAGTTTGTACCTGTAATCACTTAGGCAAGTTATGATGTGGGCACTTTCTTAATAAGTCCTTGAATCTTGCCCAAGCATCGTAAAAACTCTCTTGATCATGGTGGACAAAGGTCATTATCTTGTTCCGCAGTTTTGTGGTTTCTGAAGATTGAAAGAATTTTGCTAAAAATTTTTAGGCTAATTCTTCCCATGTTGTAAAACTTCCAGCAGGGCATGATTGTAACCAGAATCGTGCTTTGTCCCTAAGAGTGAAAGGAAAGAGTCTTAATTTTATGGCATCCTCAGAAACTCCATTTTGTTTGAAAGTGTCACAAATCTCTAAGAAATTTGTGATATGGATGGCATTAGATCATTCACTAGGCAAACCCCCGGATCTTCACTAGGCAAACCCCCATATTGGATCGAGGTGGAAAGCATTTGCATAATTGCGGGTTTGATTTCAAAATTATTAGCTTCCACCCTAGGTCTTGTAATACTCGAGGTTGTCCCATTAAGATTAGGTGTTGTGTAGTCCCGTAAGGTGCGAATCGGATGTTGAAGTGGAGGTTCGTTCATGTTCTCGTTTTCGTTCTCATTGGCCATGTCTGCTTGTTGTTCGAGTTTTATTTCACGTGCTCTTCTTGCAGCGTTGTTCCTACGATAAGTTCTTTCAATTTCTGGATCAAAGACTGGGGTTTAGTCCTTCTTGATCTTCTTTGCATAAAACACCTGAAATAATTCTGAAAAGAAAAGTTAAGTTTAAAACAAAAGAATGTCTAAATTAACAATAGGGTAATTAGTATTGATATTGATAACGCCAATCCCCGGCAACGGTGCCAAAAACTTGATAAAGATTTTCGCAAGTGTACGAAATCGCAATAAGTAATATAGAATGAGAAAGTATCGTATCCATAGGGATTGTATATCAAGTACCAAAATTATGTTAACCTATTGTTACTTAAACGACGATAAGAGAGATTTGTTATAAGGAAAGTAAATTAAAAAATAAAACAGAAAGAGATCAAGCAACAAAGTTTAGGTGAAAAGAAATCAAGGATTTAAACTACTAGGGAATTTGATTTCACTTAATTCTATCCAATTATCCAATTTATTTCATTAGTCTGTTAATCGATTTTAATTGTTTAAGTAGGAGAAACAACCCTAAATTCACTGACAAGCTCTCCCGATGTTTTGTTAGCTATTCTAATCTAGTCTAATTACCTATCTTTCAATAGAGTAATCAGGCATAAATTAAATCACTAAGTGTTGACGCGTGTCTTTATGCCCCCACCTAACCCGATGAGGATACAAGGATGCGGAATAAGGAATCAGGGTCAACCAGAAGTCTTTAAACTAAGAATGCATCAAGTTAATTATTCTCCAAGTAATTTCATTACCTTTTTCATATCAAAAACCCTTCTCCCGATAGTGATTATGAAATAATTCAATTCCAGAGAGGAGAAACTCTGCCTGGAAGCTTAAGTTCAATAACAAATTATAACAAGAACAATGAAAACAGATCTAATATTATAAATTGGAATCGAAATTTAAGTTACTTAAGTTACATCAAATCCCTAGTATAAGAATTTAGCTAGACATAGTAATTAAATAAAACTCAATAATACTTGAATCAATCTTCATAATCAGTAATAAACAATAAAGAGAAAAACAAGATTAAGAGTTTAAAGATAAAAACTAGGTAACAGCTATGTGGACTGGCTTCCTTGAATCTTGGCACAGATCTTAGATGCTTGAAATCTTTGAGAGAGAGAGAACTATGTATAAAGAATACTAAATTTTGAGATATTCATCAATGAAAAGCTTCCCTCTTTATAAAGACCTCCTGAAGGTAAATCTGACTCCGTTTAGGAAATAGAATCCTTATTAAGTACAAAATCCTCTTTTGGAGATCATGACTATTTAGGCCTTGGATTTCTTCTTATCTTCTTAGTTAGGACTCTTTTTCTTCCCTAATTAGGTTAAAACTTATTTAGGCACGTTTAGGGAAAAATATTCCGAGGCGGGCCCCATGTGAGAAGATTTCTGCTGGCCCATGTGAGAAAAAGATTTGCTTGCGTTTTTAGCTCAAGTCAAGTCTGCCTTTAGAGCACGGGCGTGCCATATAGCACGGCTTGGGCGTGCTCGAGTCTGGAACTCTGGATGGTTGAGCACGGGTCGTGCTATGCAACAAGCTTAGATGAGTCTTTGTGGCACGGGCGTGCACCTTAGCACGGGTAAGGCGTGCGTGTCTCTGTCCTTCCAAGTTAGATTTCGTCATGGGCATGGTAGGCAAGCACGCCCTGAGTTTCTTTTGGGCACGGGCGTGCCGTGCTCGCTCCTGACTCTCCACTTGATTTTCTTTAGTATTTAGCACGGGCGTGCTAAAGTGCATGGTCTGGGCGTGCTTTGTTTGCTTTGTAATACTCTTTTCTGTGCCAAAACCCTGCAAAATTTCTTCAGATCAAGTGGATTATGATTTAAGGAAGCTTTCAACAAAATTATACTTAAAATGAATTAAAAATAAATCAAAGTGATAAAATTTACTAAAATTCTAATTAAAAACTATACTAAAAATACTAAAATACTATAAAACTGACACCTATCAACTTTAGTAAGTAATTAAATTGAAACATTTAGATTGTAAAAAATTAATTATATCACGTAATTCATTAAATTAATTTAGAAACATTTACAAACTTTGTATTTCAATTCTACTTCTTGTATCTTTGTCGATAGGATAACACCAAGGCTATAAATAACCTTGTAAATTAATTGTATAATAAAGTTTAATTGAACATTGACAGATAAATTTGCAAATGTATGAAATCGCAACAAGTAATAAAGAGCGAGTAGAGTATCTTTCCCACGAAAATTGTATACTAAGTATGAAAATTGTATTAACCTACTATTATTTAAACAATAAGAGAATAATTATAAAAATAACAGAAATAAAATAGAGCTATGAGAAAGAAATCAAGGAAGTAATTGTTGAAAATAAATCAAGATTTAAAAGAAATTAAGGTTTAAAAGTTACTAGAGATCGCTAAAAAGGAGAAATAATTCTAAGATCGCTAAAAAGCTCTCTCGATGTTTTATTAGCTATTTTTAACCGAATTCAATTACCCATCTCCTCAATGCCGCAACCAAATATAAATTAAATCATTAAGTTCTATGATTATTTAGAAATCCACAAATTAAGGCTTTTAATTTTATGAAAACCTCCCACGAGTCAAACTATCTAGCTCTCACATCAAGTTGTTATTCCCATGAAATTTATTAACCTGTTCATATCAAAAACCCTTCTCTCAACAATAATTAATAAATTAAGTCAATTCAGAGGAGAAACTTTGCCTAGAAACATTAAGATCAATAATAAATTTTACTTGAATAAAGAAAATCAAATCTAATATTATAAATTAGAGTTGAATTTAAGCTACATCATTTAAGCGTGTTGACGGTTGGCGGATTGGTAGGCGCGTTTGTGAGTAATAGATAGATGTTAGTTTGTAGTTCGATAATTAAGTAAATAAAATAAAACTCAATTAAAACTGTAAATAAATTCCCATAAAAAAAAACAGGAGAGAGTTTAGAAATAAAAAACTAGTCAATGAGTTTAGAAATAAAAACTAGTCAATGATTGGCTTGAGCGACTTCCTTGAATCTTGACAGCAACTTGAATACTTGAAGTCTTAAAGAGAGAAACTATGGAGAATAGAGAACAATAGAACAAAAGATAAACATAAACTAGCTAGTCTCTCTCTTTATATAGACTTTCTAGAATAACTTCGGATTCATTTAGGAAAGTGAATCTTTATTGAAGAAGAAATCTTTTGGAGATAGGAAACTGTTTAGGTTTGTATTTCTTCTCAATTAGGGCTTTATCAGCGTCTAAATAGGATTCTAGCTTGAAAAGGCATGTCCCATAAGATTCTCATGTAGATTCATGTAAGCAGCACATGCTTAACCTATAGTCTTGGTCCAAGTTGAACTTTGTAAAGTAGCACGGGGGTGCTGGGCAGCATGGTTGGGGGTGTTTCTTGCTGGAAGTTATAGACAAATGATTGCTTTTTAATCCTCTTTTGCATTTTAGTTGGATTCTTATAAAAATCCTATAGAATTTCTCAAGATCAAGTGAATATGATTCAAGGAACCCATTTTGAAAAACATAAATAATTCTAACTAAAATAAAATAAAATAAATAAAAATTAAAAGAAATCTTAGAGACTTGATTTTGCCCTGAAAATTGCATGAAAATAACTCAAACGTAGTGAGATTAGATCGAAATTGAAACACTGCGTACCTTCGACAGTTGCGTCACGCAGCTGTTCTTTGGAAGAACAGTTGCGTGACTGTTGATGCGTGATTTTATGCCTCCACCTGACCCGATGATGATATGAGGACAAAGGATAAGGTTTCACAATAAACCGGAAGTGTTTTGTACCAAAAATTGAATCAAACCGCCCAAAGGAGCCTGACCCGTGTTAGTGCTGCGTCACGCAGCTAGTACCTGCGTGACGGCACTCTCAGCTGCGTCACGCAGCTCTAACAGGACTGACACCTCTGGCGCGCGCCCGTCGTGCAACGGCCTGCACTTAGTTTGTATGCGATACGCGGCAACTGTATCGAAAAAGTAAGTCGCGTCACTGCAGGTTTACGGCGTATGCGTCACGCAGCTTTTACCCGCGTGACGCGACTGCTCTTGTTGCCCCTAGCCATTATTAAATACCAACATTTTACTAGCAAAAAAACGCGGACTTTTTGACACTTTTGACATTATTGCTCTTCATTTTCCTCTAAGAAGAAACACGACCTTTCTTAAGTTGAGATCATTCTAAAAAAAAAAACGACTAAAGCTCTTTCTCAAGAACTCAATGGAGTGAACTGAGGGTAGATCAAGTCATAGATATTAGATTTAAAATCAAAAGAAGATATATATAACAAAAAGATAAAAAAAAAAAGAAGGAAAAGAGAGGACAACAATTTTCATCTTTTGTAAAGAACTTGTGATTGCCGCTTCTTAGAATTTGTGAAAACAAACACCTCTAATTCAATTTCTAGTTTACCATTCAAATCTATCAAATTGAGCCTAAGCAAAAGGTAACGGTTTTCTAATTCACTTCTTTTTATTTTCTAATTTATCTTTAGGCATATTTACACTCTAAAAATCTCATTCTTTTGCGTTTGATTTTAATTTGTTTGCTTTGACAAAACGTAAGTTTGACCTTATTGTTTGAGGTTCTTTCTAGGGTTCCCTTTAGACATTAGCTTTGGACAAAAAAAAAAAAAATAAGCATACGTTCAAAAAAGGAACCAGTTTTGAAAACTGGCAGTGCGGACCAGAAAGCAGACCGGCGGTCACCGCAGCTACTTAACTGCGTGACTTGCGATGTTCATGTCCCAAAAGCCCTGACCCCCGGAAAAAAACATATAAAATACGCGGGGAAACACCTGCGTGACGCAGCTGTTCGCTTACCGCATTTTCATTTTGTTTCTATATCCGTTATCTTAATATTTATCTAAAATAAAAAATCTCATATCACCCTAAGGGAATTTAATAATGTCACGAAACAGTGCTGTATTCACGTAGCTAATAGTTACGTTCA